AGGGCGATCAAGAAATCGATAATGAAGGGCGATCAAGAAATCGATAATGAAGGGCGATCAAGAAATCGATAATGAAGGCGATCAAGAAATCGATAATGAAGGGCGATCAAGAAATCGATAATGAAGGGCGATCAAGAAATCGATAATGAAGGGCGATCAAGAAATCGATAATGAAGGGCGATCAAGAAATCGATAATGAAGGGCGATCAAGAAATCGATAATGAAGGGCGATCAAGAAATCGATAATGAAGGGCGATCAAGAAATCGATAATGAAGGGCGATCAAGAAATCGATAATGAAGGGCGATCAAGAAATCGATAATGAAGGGCGATCAAGAAATCGATAATGAAGGCGATCAAGAAATCGATAATGAAGGGCGATCAAGAAATCGATAATGAAGGGCGATCAAGAAATCGATAATGAAGGGCGATCAAGAAATCGATAATGAAGGCGATCAAGAAATCGATAATGAAGGGCGATCAAGAAATCGATAATGAAGGGGCGATCAAGAAATCGATAATGAAGGGCGATCAAGAAATCGATAATGAAGGCGATCAAGAAATCGATAATGAAGGGCGATCAAGAAATCGATAATGAAGGGCGATCAAGAAATCGATAATGAAGGGCGATCAAGAAATCGATAATGAAGGGCGATCAAGAAATCGATAATGAAGGGCGATCAAGAAATCGATAATGAAGGGCGATCAAGAAATCGATAATGAAGGGCGATCAAGAAATCGATAATGAAGGGCGATCAAGAAATCGATAATGAAGGGCGATCAAGAAATCGATAATGAAGGGCGATCAAGAAATCGATAATGAGGGCGATCAAGAAATCGATAATGAAGGGCGATCAAGAAATCGATAATGAAGGGCGATCAAGAAATCGATAATGAAGGGCGATCAAGAAATCGATAATGAAGGGCGATCAAGAATCGATAATGAAGGGCGATCAAGAAATCGATAATGAAGGGCGATCAAGAAATCGATAATGAAGGGCGATCAAGAAATCGATAATGAAGGGCGATCAAGAAATCGATAATGAAGGGCGATCAAGAAATCGATAATGAAGGGCGATCAAGAAATCGATAATGAAGGCGATCAAGAAATCGATAATGAAGGGCGATCAAGAAATCGATAATGAAGGGCGATCAAGAAATCGATAATGAAGGGCGATCAAGAAATCGATAATGAAGGGCTGATCAAGAAATCGATAATGAAGGGCGATCAAGAAATCGATAATGAAGGCGATCAAGAAATCGATAATGAAGGGCGATCAAGAAATCGATAATGAAGGGCGATCAAGAAATCGATAATGAAGGGCGATCAAGAAATCGATAATGAAGGGCGATCAAGAAATCGATAATGAAGGGCGATCAAGAAATCGATAATGAAGGGCGATCAAGAAATCGATAATGAAGGGCGATCAAGAAATCGATAATGAAGGGCGATCAAGAAATCGATAATGAAGGGCGATCAAGAAATCGATAATGAAGGGCGATCAAGAAATCGATAATGAAGGGCGATCAAGAAATCGATAATGAAGGGCGATCAAGAAATCGATAATGAAGGGCGATCAAGAAATCGATAATGAAGGGCGATCAAGAAATCGATAATGAAGGGCGATCAAGAAATCGATAATGAAGGGCGATCAAGAAATCGATAATGAAGGGCGATCAAGAAATCGATAATGAAGGGCGATCAAGAAACCAATAATGAAGGGCGATCAAGAAACCTATAATGCAAGAAACCTAGAAACCTATAATGAAGGACGATCAGGAGAATCAAAGTAGACTTGGCACAGCGTTACACTACCTCCCTTTCACCCCCTTATACGCAAAAAAAAGTCCAGAATCCTGACGTCCTGGCTGATGTCCAGGACTTTGGAATCGTTGGGCAGGAGACGAGGTGAATAAAAACTTTATAGGCGAGTTTGCTGCGAATATTTGCAGTTGAGGAGACAATTGCTGTTAAGACTTACTAGGTGCTGAAATTGATCAACAGACTCGTGTGCAATACCATCTTCCAAATATGACAGGCGCTTTATCATGCATTAAAGTTTATGCCTGACCTAAAATTTGAATATTTATTTTTGGTTAAGGCCTGAATTAGCCTATATTTACTTACAATTAACTGATAACGGAAAAAAAGGACTGTTTACATCTGACAGGATGACACAGCCCCCACTCACTGTTCAGGTTAGATGGGCTGTATAATAGTAAGTGAAGGTGAAGGTTGAGCATCTAACATTCTCATGCGTGCCAAGCATAAATAAATGGAAATTCCTGGGGGATTTAGTTAGGATCAGAGCCAGATTACAGTAGAAACAACGATTAGCCATCCTCGTTTTTTATATAGTTCATTTTGCAGGCTATGAGCTGCTCGATATGATCATTTACAGCCCAACCCTATCTGAAATATGCTATTAACCTCCCAGGGCTGATCATACCCATTCTGAAGCAGTGTAAAATATTTGAATGGTACTAAATGGTCAGCAGTGTACCCATTACGTACAAACTCCAGAGAGTGCGAAGGTACACCTCCAAACTGGTACGAGAGAATTGGGCCATGAAATTTTCCTAACAAAGCGCTTTACCCGTAATGGTTATACAACGCCTGGGAAATGAGAGGTAAAGTTTCATTCGGGGGAGGGGAGAGTAGCTCAGATTACTCGGATCAAAAACCCCTTTACTAACATCAGGGAACATCCATTGAAAGGATGGACTATGAAAAATAACTTGTGGCTTAGCGCTTCTTTTTTATTATAATAATATGAAAAATAACGGACAAGAGGCGACATCACCATATACAAAATATACCAGGACGGAAATGTAATAAGAACAAGCTCTTCCAGAAGAGGGAAAAAGAAAACGAGGAAATGGCAAGTACAACCAAGCCACAGAAATGTGAGCGGGCACTTCGGTGTTATAGTCACAGTACCATAGATGGTATAATACCGTGACGGGAATATTTCACAACTTACCCACAAATTTCAGAATTATTTAATGCTTAGGTCAGTCTTGGGGACAATTATCAAATCATAGAAAGTTAAAGCTTGTATACAACACCAGTAATTTGCTTAAATTAGTCGAAAGTTAAATGGAGTAAAGAGCTAAATCTCACCCCCCCCACACACACACACCACAAATTAGTAAAAAAAAAAATTACAACTGCTTGCACGGGAAGTATTACACGTTCGCTTGCACTGCACGGCACCTATTAAACGCTCACTTCAGTGCTCCTATTATACACTCGGCTGCATGGAATCTGTTATACACCTGGCTGCATAACACCTGTTATACGCCTGGCTGCACTCGCCTGTACCCCAACATTACGTAGGATTTTAGAGTACAAAAAAAAAAAAAACTCCCTTTCCCACCCCTGCTGACGGACCCAACCATAGAGCTGTGTAAGGGTAGACCCGGCAGCTTTAACCTGCCACTGGCCTCTTGATCAATGTTTCCTACCACACTGTTACACCCTAACCCACATTTTTCCAGCTGCCTAATACGTCCTGACCTGCTTCTTTTACACCCTGATACTCGCTTTCCTCCTTCACCCTTAAACACTAACTAGTGCCCACTGACCCTTTCTGTTTTAACTCCCCCTTTCCCACATCCAAACATTGTCCCTAATCCCCTTGCCATCGTCTTCCACGTCCAGATATGGTCCCTTATCCACCTTCTACCCCCTCTTACATAGTAACACTGTCCCTGACCTGCTTTTCTAACCTTCCAGAAACCTTTGTTTACAAACAAGTAGTGGTACTCAGTTTTTTTTCTCTACTGATTACGGTATGGTAAAGATCGTAAGGTTATTATTATTATTAAAGATTAGCCGGTATTCTCCCGGCCCGGGCCTTTTCCAAGTGGTGGCCCGGCCTTGGCTCCCTCTTTAGGGACTGTCTGAGACCTAAGTCTTCCATGGGAGGAGGCACAAGTACCTCCTCATCTTTGGGACCAACTGTCCCCAGGCCTAGCCACAAGCTAGGCCTCTCTGGTCTGCCATCCCCGCCCCAAGGGGGCAAATGGGAATGACAGTCTTATGAGCTAAAGGCTCGGGCTCAGGCACCTACCCTACCCTAGAAGGGTTAGGCATGGTATCGATCTGATCGTAAGGTATTATGCTTTTCCTGTGCCATGCCCCCTCTCTCGTGCTTTGTACAACTATGAAATGTTTAGGTAACGTAATATAAAATAGTATCATTATAGACAATATAGTGATTATGATAAATAAGACTTTTTGTAAAACTACATCACATTTGTGCCAATGATCTTCAAAAACACCAATTAGCTTTTATTCCACTCATTTACAACTAATTGCTAAACCAGTGCTTTCCAGTACGTCTTTCTTTCTTAAATAAAAATTAGCCAATTTGAAGACAAAGTACACAAAGGTTTGTCACTGGTTTTACCTGGCAGTGAGGTAGAGACAAGTTCACTGTAGTGAACTTCCTGTAACTGTAGGGGGGTGAAAAGCTGTGGGATAAGGAAGGCTGATCATGACAGATACTCTTGATTGTCTACAGACATGTCATTATTTTGTACCTCGGGGTGTAGTTCTTGATGCCAGTGAGGGGGCTCTTGAACCAAGGAATTGGACCTGACCTTTCCTTTGCTCCTTTAACACACTTCCATTCCCCTCTCTTCCCCCACAAAAAAAAAAAAAAAAAAATCAGCAAGTTGTATCTGTAAGATTCTGATCTCCCAATACTGCATAATTCCATTGCAGTATGTGAAAAAGAAAATAGTTAAGGTAAAACATTTTGGGATATAGCAGCAAAAATAATTAGATGGTATAATGAATGATTTTCCACTTTAACAAGGTATGAGGTAGGAAACTGATTGTGTTAAGCTTTTAATTGGCAGGTTATAGGTTAATAAGGCCCTATTGTATTTTACAACCTTTGTTTAGATTTTATTTTCCCCCTCCCTCCCACCTTTGAATGACTTGTCATTCCTCAAAATTTTTAAATCTAGCATGCACACATTTCTTTCCAGCAGGCAAAATGGTGACTGAAGGCAAGATGAATACCAGTCTTGTGATGGAGGACAGTCCAGAGGTGCTCCACCAGCGCCTCGGTCAGCTCAACCAGCTCAGGAAGAGCAGACATTTCTGCGATGTCATCCTCCAGGCAAGTCAGAGGAAGAAAATATTAACCCACCACTCATCACCCATCATTCTGCTCTTGAAACATCTGCCTCCCTCCCTCATTACGCTCTCGTAACCAGAATTCAAATATGATACAGGCATTTTTTTCTGTTTCTCTGTTCAGTTGGCCTTGCCAGTGTCAGTTTACTGAACATACCGGACTCCTTGAAACTGCCGAGTGATGGAATCCAGTGGGCCACATTAATTGATCTTAAGTCTGAATCCCCTCCTAAATTTTTGTTTATTGTCTATGGGTTGAGTGAATACCCAGTATTTAAAGGTAGATCTTGAAAAGCATATAATTAACAATATATGTACAGTGCTTCCCTCTTTATCTTTTCACACAGTGCCTTCCCTTTTTTGGACTTAAGTGTACCCTTGTAGTGCATGTACATGTCGGCCGTCACTAATCCGGCATCATCGGGACCTGTACTATGCCGGATTAGAGAGTTTGCCGGATTACAGAGTGGTTAGGTTAGAATACACTTAATTAACCTATCAGTAGACTTTCTGCTACACCTTCCTCATTTTCATCACTGATTTTTTCCTCCACTGGCTTGCTGCTGTGGATTTGCAACCATCTGCACAATTCTGAGTCGGCATAATGATGAAATTTGAAATTATGCTAGCCGAAATTAGTGCCAGATTACTAATGGAACCAGATAACTGATTGCCAGATTAGTGATGGCCGACCTGTATTTAATTTTTTGCCAAATTGAATGAGTTTTCTCATTTGTCTTAAACAAAAATTCCTTTTAGGTTGGGAGCTCTGAGATACATGCTCATCGGTCTGTCCTGGCTTGTGCCTCTCCATATTTCTTTGAGTTGTTCACGTCTGATGATGACCGCAAGACTGCACATGAAGGAAGAGTAAGTAGCTGCAGAAGTGTGTAAGGCAGCTTAGCTAACCCATTGGGAATTTGAACACTGTATTTCCAGTAGTATTTTACTACTGTACTGTACTTGCTACTGTGACTACTACTGTACTGCTGTTGCTGTTACTATTACTATGCTATTACTATACTGTTTCAATAATACTACAGTGCTGTATTACTACAGTACTACTATACTTCTATAACTTGTACTACCTTTTCTACTGTAGTGCTATTACTGTTACCACTACTACTTTCTCAATTCTCCCTCATTTGTATAGTTTCTGGTGTTATTTCTTTGCACATGTTTGTTCTGCATGGTTTTTGTAGTGTATAGTACCACTATTTTAAACGGGCATTTTTAATTAATTTCTTCTCTGAAAATAATTTTTCATCTGGTGTGTTTTGTAACATGGGCTGATATAAAGATAGGCTGATATAAAGATAGGTTAATATAAAGTACAATGCTGCTAAATTTAGTAAAATAAAAGCTAACCTAAAGCAATAATTTTGCCTTCAGCTGATGTACAAGCTGAGTAGTGGCTTCGAGAGAGACTCTGTGGAGAGGCTTGTGAACTATGTCTATACTGGATGTATGGAAGTGCCTGACCAACTTGTCAAGACTGTTTTTATTGCTGCCAGGAAACTTAAGGTGTGTATAGTGGCCATTCTTGCAAATGGATTCTGTGAAGTGTTTTGGTAGTTTTGAAACTTCTCATTATAGTCAAGAAACCTATACAATGTAATAACTGTACAGTACGTATTTGTATTTTGTTTTACAGGAAGTCAGTACCTTAGCTTGATACTCTTGCCAGTATTGTTCAGTATAAAGATTGCATTAAACCTCCTTTTATATTATGTACTAATGAAATGAATTTATTATAAAAATGTTGTCATTTTCTCTGTGATGAGCTTGCCATGATTTTTATCGAGATGCCAGTTAATCTTTAATGAGATGAGTTTTTCTTCTGAGCCTAGTCAACCAGGCTGTTGTTACTGGTGGTTCACTGGCCCACATATTATACAAAATATTTTATTTCTACGTTACTTCATTAATAAGGCCATTCTGTTGACAGATGGAAACGGTTTCTCGTGCCTGCGGTGAGCATCTGGTGGCTCATTTAACGCCCGAATCATGTCTATCAGTGAGAGCCATTAATGGTATTGCTTCCAATGCTGCGCTTGTCAACCGTGTTGATGAGTACATTCAGCAAGTTGTGAGTATTGAACTGGCCTTGCAGTTAAATAATTTTCTAATTTTAGTTTTGGGTGCAGTGTCTTAAACTTAAATTTACAATTTCCAGATAATAATATTGCTTGCTACTCTAAGGTAAAGATTTTGAGTTAGTAGCAGTATAAACCTACATAGATAATTTTTTTTTTTTTTTCAACAAGTCTGCCGTCTCCCACCGAGGCAGGGTGAACCAAAAAAGAAAGAAAATCCCCAAAAAGAAAATACTTTCATCATCATTCAACACTTTCACCACACTTGCACATTATCACTGTTTTTGCAGAGGTGCTCAGAATACAACAGTTTAGAAGCATACACATATAAAGATACACAACATATCCCTCCAAACTGCCAATATCCCAAACCCCTTCTTTAAAGTGCAGGCATTGTACTTCCCATTTCCAGGACTCAAGTCCGACTATATGAAAATAACCGGTTTCCCTGAATCCCTTCACTAAATATTACCCTGCTCACACTCCAACAGATCGTCGGGTCCCAAGTACCATTCGTCTCCATTCACTCCTATCTAACATGCTCACGCACGCTTGCTGGAAGTCCAAGCCCCTTGCCCACAAAACCTCCTTTACCCCCTCTCTCCAACCCTTTCGAGGACGACCCCTACCCCGCCTTCCTTCCCCTATAGATTTATATGCTTTCCATGTCATTCTACTTTGATCCATTCTCTCTAAATGACCAAACCACCTCAACAACCCCTCTTCTGCCCTCTTGACTAATACTTTTATTAACTCCACACCTTTTCCTAATTTCCACACTCCAAATTTTCTGCATAATATTTACACCACACATTGCCCTTAAACAGGACATCTCCACTGCCTCCAACCGTCTCCTCGCTGCTGCATTTACCACCCAAGCTTCACACTCGTATAAGAGTGTTGGTACTACTATACTTTCATACATTCCCTTCTTTGCCTCCATAGATAACGTTTTTTGACTCCACATATACCTCAACGCACCACTCATCTTTTTTCCCTCATCAATTCTATGATTAACCTCATCCTTCATAAATCCATCCGCCGACACGTCAACTCCCAAGTATCTGAAAACATTCACTTCTTCCATACTGCTCCTCCCCAATTTGATATCCAATTTTTCTTTATCTAAATCATTTGACACCCTCATCACCTTACTCTTTTCTATGTTCACCTTCAACTTTCTACCTTTACACACATTCCCAAACTCATCCACTAACCTTTGCAATTTTTCTTTAGAATCTCCCATAAGCACAGTATCATCAGCAAAAAGTAACTGTGTCAATTCCCATTTTGAATTTGATTCCCCAAAATTTAATCCCACCCCTCTCCCGAGCACCCTAGCATTTACTTCCTTTACAACCCCATCTATAAATATATTAAACAACCATGGTGACATTACACATCCCTGTCTAAGACCTACTTTTACTGGGAAGTAGTCTCCCTCTCTTCTACATGCCCTAACCTGAGCCTCACTATCCTCATAAAAACTCTTTACAGCATTTAATAACTTACCACCTATTCCATATATTTGCAACATCTGCCACATTGCTCCTCTATCCACTCTATCATATGCCTTTTCTAAATCCCTAAATGCAATAAAAACTTCCCTACCTTTATCTAAATACTGTTCACATATGCTTCAATGTAAACACTTGATCTACACATCCCCTACCCACTCTGAAACCTCCTTGCTCATCCGCAATCCTACATTCTGTCTTACCTCTAATTCTTTCAATTATAACCCTACCGTACACTTTTCCTGGTATACTCAGTAAACTTATTCCTCTATAATTTTTACAGTCTCTTGTCCCCTTTCCCTTTATATAAAGGGACTATACATGCTCTCCGCCAATCCCTAGGTACCTTCCCCTCTTTCATACATTTATTAAACAAAAGTACCAACCACTCCAACACTATATCCGCCCCTGCTTTTAACATTTCTGTCATGATGCCATCAGTTCCAGCTGCTTTACCCCCTTTCATTTTACGTAAAGCCTCACGTACCTCCACCACACTTACATTCTGCTCTTCTTCACTCCTAAAAGATGGTATACCTCCCTGACCAGTGCATGAAATTACTGCCTCTGTTTCTTCCTTAACATTGAAAAGTTCCTCAAAATATTCTCGCCATCTACCTAATACCTCCATCTCCCCATCTACTAACTCCCCTACTCTGTTTTTAACTGACAAATCCATACTTTCCCTAGGCTTTCTTAACTTGTTTAAGTCACTCCAAAATTTTTTCTTATTTTCATTAAAATTTCTTGACAGTGCCTCTCCCACTCTATCATCTGCTCTCCTTTTGCACTCTCTCACCACTCTCTTTACCTTTTACTCTCCATATACTCTGCTCTTCTTATAACACTTCTTTGTAAAAACCTCTCATAAGCTACCTTTTTCTTTTATCACACCCTTTACTTCATCATTCCACCAATCACTCCTCTTTCTTCCTGCCCCCACCCTCCTATAACCACAAACTTCTGCCCCACATTCTAATACTGCATTTTTAAAACTATTCCAACCCTCTTCAACCCCCCCCCACTACTCATCTTTGCACTAGCCCACCTTTCTGCCAATAGTCGCTTATATCTCACCCGAACTTCCTCCTCTCTTAGTTTATACACTTTCACCTCGCTCTTACTTGTTGTTGCCACCTTCCTCTTTTCCCATCTACCTCTTACTCTAACTGTAGCTACAACTAAATAATGATCCAATATATCAGTTGCCCCTCTATAAACATGTACATCCTGGAGCCTACCCATCAACCTTTTATCCACCAATACATAATCTAATAAACTACTTTCATTACGTGCTACTTCATACCTTGTATATTTATTTATCATCTTTTTCATAAAATATGTATTACTTATTACCAAATCTCTTTCTACACATAGCTCAATTAAAGGCTCCCCATTTACATTTACCTCTGGCACCCCAAATTTACCTACTACTCCCTCCATAACATTTTTACCCACTTTAGCATTGAAATCCCCAACCACCATTACTCTCACACTTGATTCAAAACTCCCCACGCATTCACTCAACATTTCCCCAAATCTCTCTCTCTCCTCTACACTTCTCTCTTCTCCAGGTGCATACACGCTTATTATAACCCACTTTTCACATCCAATCTTTATTTTACTCCACATAATCCTTGAATTAATACATTTATAGTCCCTCTTTTCCTGCCATAGCTTATCCTTCAACATTATTGCTACTCCTTCTTTAGCTCTAACTCTATTTGAAACCCCTGACCTAATCCCATTTATTCCTCTCCACTGAAACTCTCCCACCCCCTTCAGCTTTTTCACTTAAAGCCTGGACATCCAGCTTCTTCTCATTCATAACATCCACAATCATCTCTTTCTTATCATCTGCACAACATCCATGCACATTCAGACTTCCCACTTTGACAATTTTATAGAGAAGTAAATAAAATTACTGAAATAAATTCAGTCATTGAGAGCATTACCATAAGTATTGTACCCCACACACTTGTAATATTTTATATAGTAATTTAATTGTAGTATTTACAGCACTAGTATGCCTGAATGATGCACGATTTTCACCTTTAATGTTTTGATATCTATGTTGAAGGGTAGTGTGGGGCTCCTGTAGGGAAAAAGGTGGGGGTGTCTGGGTCTTGGTAGGGGTTTCGTTCTTAGGTTCATAGGGCGGGGGTGAAAAGTGTGTAGCATGTTTGTGGGATGTGTGTGAGGTGTATGACAGCGTACTCTCCTGTTTCAGAGTGATCTGGTGCAAGTGACAAGGGATGCCTTGGGCATACCAAAGATCCAGGTTTCAGTGATACACAGGACACATGATGAAGCTGCCATTACTGGTCGTGCTCTTTGTAACCTTGTTTTGGAATGGGTCAAAAAGCAAATGGTTGAGGAGGACCTTCATTTGGACCTAATGAAAGAAAAGGTAATGGAAGATGTCTTAATATTTACTAGGAAAGAATGAAAGATAGCTTGCAAATTATTTGTTTGCAATTACAAGAATCTGCCAGAAATATCTGAAGATTGATGACTTGTTTTAAAGGAAGTCATTTAATGAAAACCATTTTGAATACGTTATTCCATTTACAGTATTGTATTTTTAAGGATAAGATGCAGTCAGTATGCAGGTGTACTTAATTATAATGTTCTTAGTACCAGTATCTTAACTTCAGTGTTTTCATGTAAAGACTAGATCATTTTCCTTGTACTAAATACTGTACCTTCATTGTCTTTGCAGAAACATATGCTGTATCTGAATATTGATAATTCACTGCATGACTGTTCTGACATCCAGTCAGGTGATCTCAATGATTCTGATATGGTTCAAGACTACAAGAAGATGTCCAGGAAACTCTCCCAGACCAATATTAAGGTAACTAAATGTAATGTACAGCATACATAGTTGTAACTGTAACTCCATACAAGTGACATGGGTTGCTTTTTGTACTTTCTCTGTGGAGGCAGACTGCATAATATACAGGAGGGCCCCATGTATTTGGCACACTCTTTTCAGTGTTCCAAGTTGTCATTGGCTTTCAATTGTGCCATTGTTCATTATGTTCAGTGCTTTTACTGCTTCTCTGCCTATTTTGCATAACAATTGCATAAGAGAAGGGCAACCGGCACCATATTTTAAGGTAAGTATTGTATGTACTGTGTATTTATTTAGTATTTTTTTTTATGCGTAGCTTAATGAGTACTGTGTAAACGTGTTATCAAGCATTTTGGACGCATTCAATAATGGAAAAACTTTTTTTTCCACCTGCCGGTGATTTTCGCTTATCGCACAGGTTCATGAACCTAAGAGCCATACAAACTGGGCCCTCCTGTACAGTACATGTACTATGTTGCTGTTATGCATTAGCCATTGGAGAGTTTTTGTATTTTAATTTTTATTCTTTCCTCTAATAGATCTTTTCTCGTTAATATCCTAGCCTCGCTGTTTTTTGTCCATGATATATTTTAGCAGTTTTTATCTGCATTATCTGTGGATCTGAATCAGAATGACCTCTTATCCTGATATTTGTTCTTAATTGTGGAAAATATTTTTTTAATCCATTCATCTGTTATACTTATTTTTAACTAGTTTGGCAACCATCCAGAGAGGTACTACTGTATAGTGGAAGCCTTTTAAAAATTTTGCACTCTGGCAGGATTTCTGACCTTAATGCTTATTCCTGTAATACACATATAATGTATTTCCTTTCCATTTTAGGAGGCCTGTTCTGAGGCTACATTAGCAGATATACTGCACTAAAAATATTCTTAATGCATGAAAGCCAACAGTGTTCTTCTTAATTTTTAAAGGCATTACATAATCATGTAATATAAGTAGTACAGTATAACAAAATGATGTTTTACTTGCAACAGATGCGAAGAAAGTCAACAACGCCACAACCTGTCAAGCCCCGCCTGATGCTGTACTCTCGTAGCATCTCTGATAAGGATGATTCAGAGCAAGATTCTGATTGGAAATTGATTGCCTATGCTCAAGTCTCGGGTGAGTTTCCTATTTTGTTATACAGCATTTCTTTAGGGTAAATTTTTAGTTTATGACAACAGTTTAGCTGTATCACTGATTCAATATTTATTAAATTTTAAAGGGCTAAAAATCTTGGTTATATCAGTTAGAGAATAGACTAGGTCACTAGAAACTCTGCTACTGTAGACATACAGTAAATGTTGCATATGCTTGTAAACAGTTAGCTTTATAAAGAAAAGGGTTTATTGACTCCCATTTGTTTGGTTTGTCTGAATGTTTATACAAGGGGCCTCCCCCTCACTTGAAGAAAAAAAAATTAGTGCTAAAAATTTTTGAGTAATTTATTCCTTGTTCCTAATGTATCTTTTCAGAGAGTTCATGGGTAGCTGTGGTGACATTAAAGGGATCAGTCACTGTAATGTCAGTGCAACAAAAGATGGGAAGCTCATCACCGACTCACACTCCAATTTCCTCACGTCCAGCTTCAGTGGAGAAGGTTGATTATTACACAGTTATTCCTCATATGTCGTCTCCAAAATGTGCAACTGGCACAGGGAATTTAAATGGTCATCTTTTGGTCTGTGGAGGATATGATCGTGGTGAGTGCCTACGGACTGTTGAAGATTACAACCCAGAGATGAATGCCTGGACCATACAGCCTCCTATGCATCAGGGTCGTGGACGGTTCGATTTGACAGTTCTAAATGGAAAAGCATATGCTATTGGTGGCTGTGATGGTTCTAAGGAGCTCAGTACTGTAGAGGTTCTAGAGGAAAACGCCAAGAAATGGAGCAGTGTGGCACCTCTACCCCTGGCTCGCTCTAACACTGGTGAGGCATCCGAGTGTATAATGTTGGTTTCTACTCATTTATTCTTCTGCTATTTTGCAGGCGAACCTGAAAAGAGCTTCCAGGAAAGATATGGAGATTATACAAAGGGAGTAGTGTCATGAAGGCAAGTAGCTGTATCATTACCAAATTGTAAGATTAGGACAGTAGCCTCCTGAAGCTTTCTCAACTAGGCAAACACGTGAGTAACCTTGACTGTTGGCCATTAACAGTTATCTCCCTCTCTTTCCAACAGGACACTCGCTATCATGGACACTCAACTTGCTAGATACAGGAAGGAAAGGGGCACAGAACAATTTTTTTACTGGCTATGATCATCTGTCATTTGACCACAATACAGGCAGATTCACAAGCCACTTTTCCAGATGTTCATGTGCCCACTTCTTGTCCTGAACTTTTGAAGCAAGTTGAGAATGCTGTAGGCGGGACAGTGCTCATCACAACCTTGGAGAGTAACCTTTTGGCTCTTTGTTATGCTACATCGGTAAGTAACACAAGGATCTGTTGGTTTTGCTCACCAAGCACTTGTACAGGAACATCATGACCTAATTCTGATAATGTTCACATATTTCATGATATTTCGATATGTTTTTCCAGATGGGAGACATATCCTATGACGCGCTCACAACTGGATGCCTGCAAGCCAAGCCAGAGGAGTCAGTCCCTTTTTCTATAGATCCCCTTTTTTTGTTCAGTGTGTAGCTGCACTCAAATGCTCTATAATCTCCATTCATTGAGAAATTTGCAAACTGTATAACATAGCATCTGACTTGTAATAAAGATTGTGTTAGTCTTGCTTGATCAAAATTTGGTATTGTTGAATGATTTGGATGGAGATAGGAAAGGCTTTGAACATGGCTATATACTACAAATGCAGCACAGGACCCATTAAAGTGTGCTTGTCTCATCCAAAAAGTTACATTGCATGTAATTTTTTAAATTTCAACCATGCTGTTATACACAACAGATATAAATTATATAAAATGTATTTTTTTTGTGTTGAGACATGCAGAAATTTATATTGTTGATCTGTCATGACTGGGTCCTGCTGAATGCTCCTATATGTAAGTTTCTGAGCAGGAATGTTTCAAATTAATATTAGAGCATTGTTTGAAAAAAAAATGCTTATTGCAGAGTCTGGGAGTAGTACTTTTGAAGCAATTTTATTTTTACCTACTTTTTGAATTCTTTAGTTAAAAGAAATTATTGCAGAATTATGAAATAAGTTAACCAGTTTTTATAATTTTTATTTTAATGTTTAATTTATATTTAAGCTTCATAGATACATACAGAATGTTTAAATACAGAACATTAGTATGATGATGAATATTGCAGTTTGAAACTTTCTACTGGAGTAATAATTTACTATTATTGCATGTAGGTGTGTAACTTTGAGAGTATATTCCCAGGGCTCTTTGCTGAAACACAACTTAAGCTACATTTATGCTCGGAAATTTACTATAAACTCAATCTAGTACTGTTGGCCAAATTAATACGCTTCATAGCAAAGCAACTGTAGCTATGTTCAGTGTGATTAATTATAATTGTTTGTTTTTTTACCTAGGTGTGTGCAGTTTAGATGGGAAAGTCTTCTGTATAGGTGGCTGGAATGGTCAGTACGGCATAAAGCAGTGTGACATGTATACTCCAGAGACTGATATATGGCAAACCATTGCTTCTCTTCATATTGGTAAGTACCTCTATAGCTTTTATCAGTTTAATTCATATTTTATACAGTAAATTTTATGGATGCATAATATTTTCGGTAAATCTAAAGTTGCTCCATTATCAAATTACTTTAAAAATATTTGTGTACACAGTGATATAACATAATGGTTTATATTTTTTCTGCAGCTTCTGATTATGTAATATATATATTTTTTTTAACTAGGTCGGTACCAAGCTGGAGTGGCTGCATATAAAGGAATGGTGTATGCCATTGGAGGCTGTGACTCCTGGAACTGCCTCAACTCCGTTGAGGTGTACGACTCTAGACTTGACACGTGGCGGTTTGCTGCTCCCATGACCACTCCAAGGCGAGGATGTGGTGCTGAAGTTTTCAAAGGTTTGTAAAATTGTATATCCCCTAAATTTTTTTTTAATTTTCAACTGTTTCCAAAATTCACTACTACACAAAGTAGTTCAAAGATTATGCAGTCTGTTTTTATTATTAATGGACTCCCTTAGAATATGAAAGAAATAAGTTTATGAATAACCATAGTTTTTTTAAAAGTGTTTTAATGTTAAATATTCGTATCCCTTCAGGTAAACTGTATGTAATGGGAGGATCAGATGGGACCCATAGCCTGTGTACAACAGAGATCTATGACTTGGAGACAAATACCTGGATGCCTGGGCCATCAATGACTACATGCAGAGCAAATGTTGGTGTAGCTGTTGTGAATGGAAAGCTGTATGCTGTTGGAGGATTTTCAGGTATGAAATTTGCTACATGTCTTTGTATTATTATAAAGGCTTCCTTCACTTAGTATTTTAATTCTTTGATGCTATGGGATTTAGCACATTGTGAATATAATAGAAATAGCTTGTAATATCATTGTTCTATTTACAGGCAAGAACTTCCTTAACAGCATAGAGTACCTAGATCCTGCAACTGATGAATGGACCAACTTCACTCCAAAGCCGGAAGTGATTAGGAATGGCATTGATAACTATACGAAGAGAAGTGGCTATAGAAATGAAGAAAATAGCCAGGCTGTTGAAAGTGATGGTACGCAAGGCAGTGATCATGAAGATGCTGTTGAGCATGAAGCTGTAGCAAATGGCCATCATGTGGCAGAGAATGGTTGTAATGGTCTCCCAAATGGTGTACATTCAATTGCCACTAATGGCCATTAAAGTTTTCAATGTAATGCTACCCCATAATTAGAGACACTATGGGGGTCTTCCCTCAGGTTAAAGAGCATCATTTAATATTATTGGGCTCATTTCAGAAAATATAATAATTTTTTATTCTGCTGTTTAATCACTAAAGAGGAGATTATACAAGTCTTTTGTTTGTAAGTAAACACAGTATAGTATAGCCTGATAGATCAGCTAAGAAAGATGGCATTTTTGCAGTGTATTGTTATTGAAACTTTCTTCAATTTGCATCTTGCGCAAAACTTCCCCCCTTTGGAAGTAGGTGCCTTCTTTCCCCTCACCGAGTTTGTACTCGGCCAGCTTTGATGAAATGGTAAGTTATAGAGAGAAATGACAGCTGCAGAATATTCAGATCATTAGACCTGATTTCTATTCTTAATTGATTCATGGGCTTGGGGTCAAGCCACTTGCTTACGATATTAATTTCCCATACAGTATACTGTACTTTACCTAATATTGATATTAAATAATTTATATTTTACCTGTGCTGAAAATGGAGTATTAAGAGTTAAAATCTTATCTTGTGCCTCTTATTATTTTTTCTTGGGTAATTAAAAATGTTTGCATTATGTTTCCAATATGGTTCAAGGGATCAATTTTACTGTAAGCCATTTACATATAATTTTAGCTAAGTTGACACTGTACCCAAAACTTAAACAAGTGTAAAACGAGTGCCAAAATAGATTCATGGGCGACTCTTGCAACTGGATTAATGGCAGTGCTGACACTTTTTCCATGCTCTAAAATTTAAAGATAAAGGAATAAATGCGAGATGTAAATTAATAACTACTGTATTGTGAGATGTAAATTAATAACTACTGTATTATAAAATAAATTCTAATATACTCTATGCTCTTTTTTTTTTTTTTAAATAGTTTTGTTGTGTTGGATGCTTGTGATAGTTTTTGCACCGTTTTCTAAAGGTTTCAATAATTTACGAAGAGCTGGGGAGAAAAAGTTCAAATAGCATTTGCAGAACCTTTTTGGAAGTCTCATCAATGTGGAAATAAAGTAAAAGATTGACTTTTGAGAAATCATTACTGTTTTTCTGCTAAAGTTAATCTATGGTGGAAACTGCTTTTCTTGTGATACACAAACTCCAGGGGCAGTAATTTCAAGAACAGTTTAATGTCAGTATTTCAACAGGTGGCAATGTAAGTGCGTATAAACATAAACCAGATCCCCTGTTTACATCTCTTAAGAGAAGTTATCTTGTCAAGTTAAGTGAGATTATAAGGAAAACGAAGTATATCATGTTTAAGCTCTAGTAAATATTAATTAAATTTGCTTGCCAAATCCTCCTCCGTCCAACTATTCCTGCTATCTTTATACAAGTGTCTTAAATATCTTCTTGCTATCTCCAAGTGCGAGTTGCTCATTGATGAAATTTTAGCACTTGATGTTTGGTGGTATACAGTAGAAATATTTCATGGCATTTTATTTATATATATAAATAACTAGAATATTAATTGCATTTAATGATAGTGTGATATACACTGTAGTTACCTATACACCTATAGTACATTATAGTCACCAGGATATGGTAAATAAAACCTTACATATTTAGGATTATATTTCATGTATTTGCAAAAATTATGAATTCTGTATTCATTTTTTATACTTATTTAATTTAAGATGACTAGATAAGATATTATGAGGCCTGAACATTAGTCGTGTAATTTTCCAGAGTAAACGAGATTTTTTTTTTTTTTATAATTTTGCTGCATAATAACTATTATTGAATTCTGAAGCTCAAGTGAGTGGGAATGTTCCAACAGTCATATCATAAGAATTTTAAGAGAAAATGTACATCTTTTTGTATGAAATAAATCCAATTTTTCTTTTTTGGACATGGGAGTTTTTTAATAATTATTGTAAGGTTAGGTTCTGCATTGTAGAATTGCCTAAATTACATTATATAAGTAATTTACAGATGTTTACAACTAAATTAATTTGCTATTGTATTTGTTTTAGACAAAAAAAAAAAAAAGGCAAAAAGTATATTTCATTTTAAACCACATCAGTTTTCCCTTAAAAAGGGACATATATTTAATTTGTTAGTATAAATAATCATTGTAATTGATCCTCATATCACATTGCATATGTCCAAGATGCACCTTTAGTGGTTAGTACAGTAGTATCTTGACGACTTGCTGTGATGTGTTGCTACCAACTCTAGTTAAAATGATAAACACACCTCTTGTTTATAATGCATGCCAGCATGAGCAAATGTAAATCATATACTTGTGGAAGGTTATATATGACAGTTTCTTTCCAGTACTGTACTATATTCTATACTATAAGCCTGAACCTTAATGCTTTATTAAACACATTTGCTCAAAATGTCATATTTTTACCTGTGTATAAATTTGTATCTGCAATCAGAATGGTATAAGGAACTTAGTACCAAAATACAATGCTTATTGAAGCCACTCCTATGAAGTACATGCATAGATTTTATAATGTGATGTCATTTTCGAACTTGTTGGAGTTGGGTGACTGCATTATCAAAGATAACACGGTCTGTAATATGTAAATAAATATAAGTAAATACCATACCATTTGACAAATTTCATCATTGTACAAATACTTGGTAAACAAGGAAGGAAAGCTATACATTTTTTATTGAATTGTCCTAGAAAACTGATATAAAAAAAAGACCTAATGAAGCATTTATACCATAGATTTTAACATTACTCCAGTTTATTTCTATGACAATTTTTGCTATAGCAATTTAAAATTAAGGATTTTTTTATTGGAAAACGATGAATTTTAGAGCATATTTATTGTTAAAGATGGTATATCTAGGAAAGATTTGTTTGTTAGTATCAACTTTAGGTAGCAGATACTGGGAAATTCAATTCCTCTACTTAAGAGTATAGACACTGCAATTGTAATATTATATATTTTGTAGAGGACAGTGATGCAGTGTATCATCCCCTTAGGAATATAGATGTGGATCAATTCACTTTTAAATCAAGATCTGGTCTTCATGGCTACGATTGAAATATACCTCACTTTTTATATTTAAACACATCTTAGCAAAGAAAAATATTGAAACCTAGATACTAGATATGCCATGGTTTCTTCAGTCTTGTATGATATGAGATTAACGATTCCTGTGATAAAAGGGTATAAAGACTTTCTGGAATGATAAAATCAATACCTGGAGTTATTTATCAAGTTATTTATAAACTGACTAGCTCATTGTGAGTTATGCTGGATAATTGTTATAAAGCAGAGTAAGGAATAAGGATAAATTTATTTTTTCAAGTATACCACAGGATATACTTTTTTTTTTTTTTTAATTTTTAAAATATAAACATGTTTACTAACATGCCCGTTTTGCATTCGGGCAAAAAAAAAAAAAAAAAAAAAAATAAATGTTGATATTTGTATAAAGCAAGTCAGCATTTCAAATTGGGATTTGCTGGTCACCCAAAACAATATATTTTGTACTATATTAAACCACTGTACTTGGTCTGGTCTGATGGTTTACTCCTCTTCTACTGATTATATATCTACCACATTGTACATTTAAAACATTATCTATATATGACAATGGAAACTGCCTTTTATTTACCTTTGTATAAGTTAAACCAAAACAGGGTTTTAATGTGAAACTTGCTCTTGGAAAAATAAGCTTTCTAATGTTAGATTTTATTAAACTACATATAGCCAGTTAAAAACCTTTCCACAGTGAGAGGGTTTTGATCAGAGGAATCTGACTTTCCTTCATGGGATCTGAAACGAAATTCCCAAACCTAAGGGCTTTACTAGTAGGTATAACCTATCTTTGAACACCCTTAATTTTCACATGCCCTTGCATAACCCTGTCTAGTGCTGTATAACTCGTACAAATTTGTGCTAATTTGATTGTTAATGAGGATATTTTCTCTCCACCCTCGCTTGCCTCGGATCAAGCTATGTTGATGACTTCGCTATTGCTTGTGCAGGCGCTGACTGTCATCTTATTGCAGTTTCTCTCCAGCATACGGTCGACCGTGTTTCCACTTGGGCCATCATGCATGGGTTTAAATTTTCAAGTGCCAAAACTCGCCAAATTACTTTCACTAGACGCTCTATTATCTCCGATCATCCTTTGTATCTATGGCTCCCGTATCCCCGAACGTGATAGTCAGGTTTCTAGGCCTTCTCTTTGACCGTAGGTTATCCTGGAAACCTCACATTACCTCTCTGAAGGCAACTTGTCACAGCCGGCTAAACCTTCTTAAAACCCTTGCTCATCTTTCCTGGGGAGCTGATTGTCGAACTCTGCTTTGCCTACATTCAGCCCTCGTTTTATCGAAACTCGATTGTGACCAGATTTATTCCGCGGCCTCTCCTGCTACTCTCTCTAGCCTTAACTTATCCATCGCCAAGGATTACGTTTGTGCCTTGGTGCTTTTCGCTCTTCCCCTGTCGAGAGCCTCTATACAGAAGCTAATGTTCCATCCTTGTCTGATCGCCGTGATGCCCATTGCCTTCGCTACTATGTACGCTCACGATCTACACAATCCTTCCATTTATAGAATGGTCACCGATATTAGTAGACATTCTTTATTTGTTCGCTGCCCCTGTTTGCTCCGTCCCTTTTCTCTTCGCCTACATTCACTCTAGTCTTCCCTTCAGTTACCACCTTTATATGTTCATGTAGCATCTCACTTTTCCCTACCCCCCTGGGAAGTTCCAGCTGTTCGGGTCTGTTCTTTCTCACTCCCTTGCTCGAAAGCTCAACTGCCTATGGTGGCTTCCCGCTCTTTTTCTTGATCACTTCCACTCCCATTCTCATGCCACCGCTGTGTACACAAATGGCTCTAAGTCTTCAGACTGTGTCGGATTCGCAGCAGTGTTTCCGGACAGCGTCGTGCGGGGGCATTTACTATCTTCGGCTAGCATTTTTACTGCTGAACTGTATGCCATTCTTGCAGCACTTATTCGTATCGCATCTATGCCCGTGTCATCATTTGTGGTAGTCTGACTCCCTTAGTGCTCTACAGGCTATACGAAAATTTGATACATCTCACCCCCTAGTTCTCCGTATCCATCTTTGGCTACAGCCGTATCTCTACGAAGCATAAAGATATTATTTTTTGTTGGGTCCCTGGTCATGTTGACGTACAGGGCAATGAACAGGCAGAACTGCTGCGCGGTCAGCAGTACATGACCTACCAATTTCCTATAGAGGTGTTCCATTTCTGGACTATTTTGCTACAATAGCTGCCCACCTTCGCACCCGTTGGCAACAACATTGGTCAACTCTGCTTGGTAACCCCTCAAGGAAGGTTCCTTGATGTTGGTGAGGGGCTCTTGATTTAGGGAATTGGATCTGTGCTCCAGTTCCCCGAATTAAGCCTGAATGCCTTCCACATCCCCCCCCCAGGCGCTGTATAATCCTCCGGGTTTAGCGCTTCCCCCTTGATTATAATAATAATAATCTGCTTGGTAACAAATTTCATTCTATTAAACCGAGCATAGGTTACTGGCTGTCTTCTTGTCATCAGTGCCGTGGTTGGGAGACCACACTCTCCCGTCTTCGCATTGGCCACACTCGTCTTACGGGTATCTCATGGAGAGGCACCCTGTACCTCTCTGTGAGCAGTGTCAAGTTCCAGTATCGATTAGCCACATTCTGTTAGACTGCCCTCTGTCAACGAGCACGCAGAATTTACCTCCAACGCCGTCTTCGTTCTACTACTCTCTCTTTACCTTCCCTTCTTGCTGATGGACCCTCCTCTAATCCTGACTCTCTCATTGACTTCTTGACAACGACTGATTTACTCCACAAACTCTGATGATGATACCTTACGCACTCCCCTCAGCCCTTTCTAGCTCAGTCTCTTGCTGCCCTTTACCCTTTCACCATCCACTGCTCCGCTGTTATCCGTAACCTATTACTCATCCACCTCCCTTTTGCCACCTGATGCCCTTGCTTCCTTCCTGCCCTGCAGCGCTGTATAGCCCTTGTGGCTTAGCTCTTCTTTTTGATTATAATAATAATAATCGGATCAAGCACATTAAACCATTAGCATACCCTACCCCCTGCAGTGCTGTATGACCTTAGTGGGATTAGCACTTGGTTTTGATTATAATGTAGACATATTGCACTACCTGATAAATTTTGTCTTTGGGGATGTCAAGTGAGCCTCTGGTAACACTCATCGCCAGATGTTTGGTGGAGTTCCAGGGACTGTATGACCCTTGTGAGCTTAGTTTTGACTGTAACAATGCAGTTTCTGGAGTGGGATTTAGAGGTGTATGACTACTGGAGTTCGTTGTATGCTCATACCCCCTCAAGGAAGGTTCCTTGATGCTGGCGAGAGGCTCGTAATCTAAGGCTTAGACCTCACCTTGCCTATACACTCCAATTCCTTTGAGCCTGAATACCTTCCATTTCTCTAGTCTATATTCCCCTCAAGGAAGGTTCCTTGATGTTGGTGAGGGGCTCTTGATTTAGGGAATTGGATCTATGCTCCAGTTCCCCAAATTAAGCCTGAATGCCTTCCACATACCCCCCCAGGCGCTGTATAATCCTCCGGGTTTAGCGCTTCCCCCTTGATTGTAATAATAATAATCTAGTCTATATTATGATCTCAGGAATGTAATAGTAATCCTCTTCAAGAGAGGCTCTTGGTCTGAGAAACTGGAGCTGCCCTTCGAGACATTTCTGTGTTTGGGTTAATAACATGCTTTCCCTGGACTTTGTCCAAGCTGAAGGTGTCACCCAGGGATGTTCTGAGCACAATACTTTCTCCTTGCTATAAATGATCTGGCATCTATCTTCCATCTAATATTTGGTCATCACTATGTTGTTGACTACTAGAGCTTGTGCAGGTGCTGGCTGTCACCTCACTGCAGTTTCTCTGTTCTAATCCTGTTCCCAATTGGGGCACTACTTGTGGGTTTAAATTTTCTAGTACTAAAACGCCAAATTACTTTCACTAGACGCTCTTTTGTCTTTGTTAATCCATTGTACCCACATGGCTCGTGTATCCCAAAAAGTGATATGGTCAGACCTTACCATGGGTGGGGATAGAACCCACAATAGTGTCATTACAATTTCGTGAGTGATATGGTCAGGTTTCTCGGCCTTCGTTTGACCGTCGGTTATCCTGGAAACCTCACATTACCTCTCAAGGCAACTTGTCATAGCCGGCTGAAGCTCCTTAAAATCCTCACTCATCTTTCGTGGGGGGGCTGATTGTAGGACTCTCCTTCGACTACTTTCAGCCCTAATTTTATCAAAACTTGATTAAGGCGATCAGATACATTCAGCGGCTTCTCCTGCAACCTTTTCTAGCCTTGATTCCATCCATCAGGGATTACGTTTATGCCTCGGTGCTTTTCACTCTTCACCGGTTGAGAGCCTCTATGCAGAGGCGAATATTCCATCCTTGACCGATCGCAGTGATGCTCATTGCCTTCGCTATTATGCTCACTCTCATGACCTCTGCAATCCTTCCATACATAGGATAGTCATGGATGTTAGTAGAAGTTCATCACCCATTTACTCCGTCTCTTTTTCTCCTCACCTACATTCACTCGTCTTCTCTTCCGTTACCACCTTTCTATGTTCATGTAACATCTAACTTTTCCCTACCCGCTTGGGAAGTTCTGATTGTTCCTGTCCTTTCCCACTGCCATGTGTGAAAGCCCAACTGTACAATGGTTTCTCGCTCTCTTTTTCTTAACCACTTCCAAATCTCTCTTTCTATCAGTGTACACTGATTGCTCCACGTCTGCTGATGGTGTCAGATTCGCAGCAATGTTTCCGGACAGTGTCGTGTGAGGGCATTTATAATCCTCTGCTAGCATTTTTATGGCTGAATTGTATGCCATTCTCGTAGCACTTATCTGTATTACATCTATGTCTGTGTCACCATTTGTGGTAGTTCAGACTCCCTTAGTGCTTTACAGGCTATAAGAGAAGTTGATACACCTCATCCCCTCGTTCTTCCTATCCAGCTTTGGTTATGCCATATCTCTAGCAAGCACAAAGAATGTTTTTTGCTGGGTGCCCGTCATGTTGACGTACAGGGCAATGAACAGGCAGACTCTGCTGCGTGGTCAGCAGTATGTGACCTCCCAGTTTCTTAGAGGTGTTCCATTCACAGACTATTTTGCTGTAATTGCTACCCACCTTTGCACCCATTGGCAATAATGTTGGTCTGATCTGCTGTATGAATTGCATTTCATTAAACCAAGTAGGTATTGGTTTCTGGCCGTCTTGTCATCATTGTCGAGGTTGGGAGACTACACTCTCCTGTCTTTGCATCGGCCCCACTCGTCTTACTCACGGCTATCTCATGGAAAGGTGCCCTGTTCCACTCTGTGAGAAGTGTCAGGTTCCAGTTTCTGTTGGCCATATTCTGTTGGACTGCCCACTATTAACTAGCACGCGGAATTTACCTCCAACGTCAGCACCGCTCTACTGCCCTTACTTAACCTTCCCTTCTTGCTGATGGACCCTCCTTAAACTCAGACTTGACAGCAACTGATTTACTGCACAAAGTGATGATGATGATGCCTCTAGCACTCCTCAGCCCTTTCTTCCTCACTCTTGCTACC